TCAAAGGAATAACCTTTGGTGGGGAGAAGACTCCACACTCAGACCCATAACTTATGTGCATTTTGCTGTGCTCTGTGTTCCAAAAGACTCTGACCTCAGTCTGCTGCACATGAGCACGACAGAAAAACAAACAAAGCGTTTGAAGTAACATCTTTGACTGGAACGGGGCTTGCAATATTCCACAAGGGATGGGGAGCCTCCCAGAGCAGAGTTTTAGGGTTTGTACTGTACAGGAATTTACAGGCAACCCTGCAGAGATGCTTGAGAAACAACCTGAGAAACAACCCCCGTGGCTCAACATTTTGGATTCTCGTCCCAGATCTGTGTTTTTCAGGGAGGCACAATTCCCAACGGGATAAATTCTGTGCCCCCAAAGCTGGACTGAAGTCTTGAGCCAAGTCCCACAGCCCTCAGTGCCCTGGGCAAGCCGAGACCTTGCAGGACAGCCCCGAGATTTCCTCAGGCACAGGGAGACTGAACTCTGCTCCTTCCCAAGGAGGAACAACGGGAATGTTCAGCGGGCTGGGAAGAGGCCGGAGGCGGAGGAGAGCTCCTCACGCACACCAGCAACTGGGAATTCTCCAGCGGAGACTTTCCCTGTGACGCTGCTCCAAGATCAAGGTCAGGGTCAGCCCCAAGCTGAGTGAAGGCTTTACAAACTCATCCCACACAGTGGGAATCGCTTTCACGACCAGTTTGGGAGGCTCAGCCTCGCTCCCCTAACAATGGCCTTGGACATTTTATGGACTATACTGTATGTTAGCTGTGAAAGGGCGTTTGAGCCCCCAGCCTGAAAAATCCCAACTATCTGGATAATTTGATGAATTGCTAATACCACTGTGACAGTTTAATCGCAGCGGCTTCCTTGGAGCTCGTTTCCATTGTGTCCTTGGCTGCTGAGCTTCCAGCCGGGACGTGAGGGTACTGCAGAGCAGAGGGAGCCTGGGGGGGCTCCTGGGGCATTTTCCTTTGGGATGATCCCTCTCAAACACTTGCCCAGCTGTGCACACAGCCTGCACCACATATTGACAGAGGCTGAACACCACCCAGTAGCCCAACACCATCTGGCTGTTGTGGTGCTTTGCAGAGCAAACCAGCAGTACATCAGGGCAGGGTGGAAGGGTGGCAGTCACTACAGTCCCACAGACTTTGGGATTCCTTCCCAGGGCATGCCCAGAACATCCACCCTGCTAACCCTGACTGCAAGGGAGATCCACATGAGTTACACAGGGGCCATAGCACACCCAGAGAAATGAGTTTTCAAGAATACACTTCAAAGTCAAGAACAGACTTGAGTCAAGAATGGACTTCAGAGACTTGAAGAAGCCATTAAGATTATTGTCAAAGATTAAGTAATTAATTTAGATTGTCAGATGAATGCCTGAAGATAACCTGCTCATAGCAAAAAACATCCCAGTTTCTGAAAGCAGAGAGCTCCAGGAAACAGCAAACCAAGGGGTTTCACTCCCAAAGTCCAACACCCCAGCAGGTCTAAACTGAAATTTTCAAGAGAATGAAAGCACTGAGGTTCAGCACACACCGAGGTGCAGCACACACAGAGGTTCAGCACACACCGAGGTTCAGCACACACCGAGGTGCAGCACACACTGAGGATCAGCACACACCGAGGTTCAGCACACACTGAGGATCAGCACACACCGAGGTTCAGCACACACCGAGGTTCAGCACACACCGAGGTTCAGCACACACTGAGGATCAGCACACACCGAGGTTCAGCACACACTGAGTCACTGGTGGCACCAACATTGCCAGGTTACTGGAGGAAGGGGCAGTACCTGGCACGCCGCAGGTGTCCTGTGGGGCTGGGGGGCTCCTGCCCCGCTCTGCTCCGTCCTGGGGGGCCTGGCGCTTGTATATCCTGTGGGGCTGAGCTGCCCCCTCCTCCCGGGGGCTGCTGGACACCGGCTCGATGAAATAGTCCTCGTTGAGGAGCCGAAACACGCCCTTCTGGCAGGAGAGACAAGGGGGCACTGTGAGGGCACCTGCACTGGCACAGGATCAGACTGAAGGACCTGGGAGTGACCACTGGAATCACAGAATCCTGGAATGGCTTGGGAGGGAAGGGACCTCAAAGCTCACCCAGTGCCACCCCCTGCCATGGGCAGGGACACCTTCCACCGGCCCAGGGTGCTCCAAGCCCCATCCAACCTGACCTTGGACACTTCCAGGGATCCAGGGGCAGCCACAGCTTCTCTGCCCAACCTGTGCCAGGGCCTGCCCACCCTCACAGGAAAGAATCCCTTCCCAATGTCCCCTCTAACCCTGCCCTCTGGCAGTGGAAAGCCGTTTATTCAAACACAGAAAGCTTGAAAAACAAACACAGCCCCCACCTGAGAGCAGAAGCAGACCAAGGATCCCATGGAGTTGCCATCCCTCCAAACTGGGAGACACCAGTACAGGCACTGCTGGTGATCGCTCCCTCTGTCCTGTGCCCGTGCTGGGGACACAGTGGGGTTCCCAACCCCAGAGCCCCTGTCATCTCATAGCCCCCTCGGGAACGGGGATCTGCACATCACCAGTTATATGGTACCCTTCCCCCAAAACTGCTGCTCTTCCACACTGTCACCTTTGGAAGCATCTACAGTGGAATAAGGCAGGGGAGAGTTGAGGGAACAGGGAGTAGTTTCAGTCCCCAGGAGCTGTGTTGGCATTAACACCTCCAGCTCCGAGCCCCTCACTGTGCTCCTCACAACCACACATTTATGAACTAGAAGGCAGAGAATCGCTGTCCTTGGGAATTTGGACACAAACAGGGAAACGCAGCCCCAGAGAGTTCCCAAACCGCTGGAATCCATGGGAAATTTACAGTCAGCTCATCTATGGCCACATCAGCCCTACGTGCTGCTGCTGCCAGGAGTTTTGCCATCGCTTTCAGCACAAAGGGGGACCTAGCTCCTGCTATTTCCTTGTGGATTCATGATCCTTACGGATCAGGGCTGTACTTACCAGGCCATCGCAGGTGCTGAGGGCAGCCAGCCCTCCCTCCGCCCGGCTCCGAACCTCCCCGATCATGTGGCAGGGGTTGGAGGTGCGGGGCTGGATCTTGGCGCCGGCGATGCCCCCGAAGCGCCTCTCGCTGACAAACCCCGGGGCCAGGAGGTTCCTGTTGAGGCTCAGGTTGAATTTCAGGGGTTGTCCTTTGTAATGCAGCTCGTAGAAGGCAGGGAACTTGCTCCTGGAGGCGGGAGACCTCCGGTGAAGGGCTCGGTGAGTCAGGTCGTAGGACAAGAAGGATCCGCTCTCGTCAACCTTGATGGGATGAACGATGTCGCTGCCAGGGGGCGGCGGGGGCGGCTCTGGGGAGAGGGGGTGCAGGGGTTACCTGCAGGGCTCCTCACCTGTCCTCTCCCACCCCTTCGTTCCGCTGGATGAACTCCCGGGGCAGGTACCAAACTCCGCTTGGATCAGGTCACTGGTGCCCGCTGGGACGGCACGGAGCAGGGAAGAGCAGGGACCCCACCTCGGGAGCTCAGAGCCGTGGGACAGGGTTAAGGTCAGGGTCAGGGATCGGGTGGGGAGGGACGGGGGGATCGGGCAGCTCCGGAGCTCCGCTCTGCCCGGGCTGGTCCCGCTTGCCCCGCACACACTCCCGCTGCTAAACTCCAGCCGCCAGTAAAGAAACCACCAACCAAACACCGAAATAACCCGCAAAAAATCAAATCCCAGCTAGGGAACGGCGTTCGCACGCCGTCTCCGGGGGCAAAGCAACCCCCGGGCACCGAGCGCCCCGGAGCCTCCCCGGCCGGGGCGCAGCGCGGGAGGAGCGGGAGGAGCCGGGGGGCACCGGGAGCGCCGCGGGGAGCGGGGTCCGACCCTGCCCGGCCCGCCGGGGAAGGGCTGCAGCGCTGGGGGGTACCGGGGTGCGATCCGCGCAGACATCCCCACGTCCCGCGGACATCCCGCATCCATCCCCGAGCATCCCCGCGGACACCCCGCGCGCCCCTCCCGCGGTCCCCGCGCGGACCTGTCCCCGCGGTACCCGCAGCCGCGCCCGCGGCCAGCGGCAGGCCGGGCAGGCCGGGCAGGAGGGGCAGGAGGGGCAGCAGGGGCAGCAGGGGCAGGAGCCCGGCCGGGGCCGCCATGGCTGCGGCGCTGGGGGCTCCCGCGGCAGGGGCGGCGGGGGGGCGGGGCTCTGGGCATGGGGGGCGGGGCTCTGGGCATGGGGGGCGGGGCTCTGGGCCTGAGGCGGGGCTCTGGGCTTCGGGGGCGTGGCTCTGATCATGGGGAGGGGCAATTCCACTCGAGGGCGTGGCTCCGGGCTCCGGGCGGGCAGCGCGCGCTGCCGGCGCTCGGCACGGCCCGAGCGCGCCCCCTGGCGGTGCTCCCAGCGCGCTCCGCTGCGAGGATGGCGGTGGAAAAGGAAACATTTCGGCGGATTTTCGTTGAAAAATGGGAAGGGATGCTTGGGCGATGCCGCCATGTCCCCCCAGCCGGGGCTACCTCTCGCTGCCTCTCAGGTTTAAACGAACCGGGAGCGCAAACGCGCGATAACTTGGTGCCATTAAATACCCCTCCGGAGCCTGCTCGTGGCCCCCACACTCCACAGCTTTGCCGGGAGAGCCACGCCTGCCCCGCCACCCCTGCCAGCTTCGAGAGGGGATGTGTGTTTAATTAGGCGATGAGGTAATACACAAATGAGCGGGGGCCACGCGCGCCCTCTGGCGGCCGCAGCGCGGGGCGCGCGGGGCGGTGCCGAGTGCCGAGGACGTTGCTCGCAGATCGCAGCGCCCGGCTAGCTCAGTCGGTAGAGCATGGGACTCTTAATCCCAGGGTCGTGGGTTCGAGCCCCACGTTGGGCGCATTGAATTTTTTTTCCCCTCTTACCTTTTCCTTTTTTTTTTTTTTTTGTCATTCTTTTCCCCCTCTCTCTCGCAGCTCGCGGTCCCGGCGGCCCGCACGGCACCCCCGGCGCGGTGCTGTGGCCCGCACGGCGCGCAGCGGGGCGGGGATGGCCCGGACTCCATGTCCCGCCATGCCCGGGGCGCGGCTGCGCGGCGGGGCCGGGCCGGGATGCGGCGCGGGCGCTGAGGCCCCGCGGGGAGCGGGCGGAGCAGGGACCGGCCCTTATAAATGGCGCCCAAGCAGGACCCCAAGCCCAAATTCCAGGAGGGTGAGTGTGAGGGGAGCGGCCGGGGGGCCCTGCCAGGGGCCGGGGGGGGGTCCCGCGGGGCCGCGGCAGCCGCAGGTCGGTGCCCGCTGCGGCGATTTGCACCCAGCGCTCGCTCGGGCTTTGGGGGTGATCCGGCTCCAACCCCTCGCTGCTCAGCCCTGAAGGTGTGGGGATTCGTGGGGAAGCCGAATCCCCGCAGTCTTTGTCCCTTCCTGCGCCTCCTCTGTCCCCCCAGCGGGCCGCGGGCCCTTCCCCGCCGCTGGTGCTGGGAATGCCCTTTGGTTCCTTCGCCTTCCCTTCCAGTGCCAGCGATCGGCCTGGACCTTCCCTGGCTGAGGCTGCCGGAACGCCCCGGGGCTGCCAGGGGGGGATTTTCCTGCATTTGAAGGGTTTCTGTTTCCCCGAGAGGGAGCTCAGTGCAGGGGGGTGGATGGAGGCAGCGTTGGGATCGCAGCCGTGCTGGAATCCATGTTTGCCACTAAGCACCGGGGTTTGGGGGGAATAAGGGTGAATCGGGCTTCTTGCGAGGCTTTTTCTGCCTGTATTTCGATTTCTAGGTGATGATTGTGGTTGGTAGTGATATAATCAAGAGAAATAAAAATAGTAATACAGGAAGGGGGCTGCCCCATCCCTGGAAGTGTCCAGGGCCAGGCTGGACGGGGCTTGGAGCAACCTGGGATCCCACCTTGGCAGGGGTGGGATGGGATGGGGTGGCCTTTGGGATCAGGGATAGGTGTGGCTGTGTCGCTGCAGTGTGTGGATTCACAGGAGAGGCTGCAGTGAGGGAGGGAGAGCCTGCCAGGTTATCATGGAGACAAAGAATGCCCAACACATTTGTGTGATTTTAAAAATAAGTATTTCGCAGTAGCCATAGACATCTCACCTAGAAAACATTGAGCAACAATTGAAATAGAGGGGTGTTTCCACCAGCACTTGTAAGCACAAGTGACAAAGGAGGGGAATAATGTCACCTCTGATTGTCAGCCATAATTATATTGACGTTTGCTTTCTTTAAATAAAAGTACTGACTGTGTCATGTATCAAAATGGGCACTTCTGTGAGAACCTTTCTAAATCTTTTGCTTTCTTGATACACAGAAGCATTTTGTAGTTCTGCAGCTCATCTCCCCAAAAATGTGAGGCACTGCAGCTTCCAGAAGGAAACATCTAGGCTCGGGTATCCTGTGCTAAGTACACTGAAATTCCTGCAGTGTAACCACACAGTAAGCCCTTGCCATGGAGGAGAAAAAAAGCAGGCTGAAGGACAGTCTCATCCTGCATAAACCCCTCAAAGTGAACGGTTCCTGTTGCTGTTCACAGAGCCAGCACTGCTCCATCCCACACATCGGATGGGGAAGTGTGGGGGGGTGTCTCTTCCTGACTGCACTGAGCTGGGAATACCAGTGGGCTGTGTGGAGCCTGGGTGTTCTGGGGTCTGCAGCTGGAACTGGAGGCTTTGAGGGAGTTACGTGTGTGCCAGCCTTGCAGTGGGACGTGGGAGTGTCGATGGAGGGGCAGGGATGTGAGTTTTGGTGGCAGTTCCCAGCCGAAGTCCCCAGCTGCCCTGCCACTCTCTGGGCAGGCCTGGCATGGTGTGTGTGCTGCTGGCCTGGGTGACACATGGTATGGAAATGGCACTGTGGTGTTCTGAGATGTTTTTCTGGACCTCTCTTCCAGGTGAGCGGGTGCTTTGTTTCCATGGACCTCTCCTTTATGAAGCAAAGGTAAGTGTGGCAGCTCATTGCTGCAGGGGGTTCTCACTGCCCCCAGGAAAATAAAGAATTGGTTTAGTTTCCCTGCTGTGCCTCGCAAGGTGGGATCAAGGACTGAAATGAAAATTAATGAAAACCTGATGATGTGTGAGATTTTAAATCCTGCAGCTTTATATTATTGAAAAATTTCAGGAAACCCAGTGGTGCTGCCCAGTTATTCTGGTAGACTCCCAAAGGCTGGTGGTTTCACATGTTGGAATATCCCATAGAGCCGTGTTCCCAGAACACTGGGATGCATTTGCACCTGCAGGACTTAGAGCTGCTGGATTACAGCCATAAAGGAAGTGGCATTCCCAGTTCTGGTTCCCAGTTCTGTCTCTTTAACCACACAAACCTGCACTGCAGCTCTGTGATCTGGAGGGTGACCCTGCTGCCTCAGGTTTGCTGGAGGTACAGCTCTGGATTTGCCTGCTGAAATGGAAAAAAGGGCTCCCGTAGCTCTCTCTGGGTTAGAGGACTTGCAGAAATTCCTGGGGCACCTCAGACAGGGATTGAAATCCATTAGGATTTAGTGTCATGTTAGCTGATGGGGCAGCTTCAGAGGGGTGGTGACAGGGAAGCACTTGGTCTTCTCCTGCTGTGTCCCTCCTCTGTATCCAGAGTGGGATTTCAGCAGGGTCTGGCTCTGCCAACCTGGTGCTGGAAGGGATTTCCCAGCTGGCAAGAAGCTTTTGGCCGGCTGTTTACATAGGAGTGGATCTTCCTGAGTTCCTGTCCTGGCAGAATGAACTTAAACCGTTTTACAATTATAATTCATTTACTTAGAAGGGTTTAATTTTAAAAGGGGCTCTGTAAGTAGTAATTAATAATAACCTTCTCTTTCTTCCTGTTCCTTTGATCTGTTTCTCCTCAGTGACTCTCAGTCCAGGGGTGGTTCTGTTCCTGCCCACGTCCCGGGTGTCCCTCAGCAGAGTGGTCAGGGAAGCCCTTGTTTGTGTTAGAGGAGTGTGAGGAGCTGTGGCAAACAGGAACTGTTTGTACACCTCTGCAGCGCAGAGTTAAATGACACTCACTGGAAACACTTCTGACCTCCAGCAAGGAAAATGTTTTGCTACAGAAATACACTTGAGTCACCTTTTGCTTTGTGCTCAGCCCTTTTGTTCTTCAGGACAAGTGGAGACAGGCACGGCCTGTGTTGGGCTGGGTTTAATTTCAGGCTGTCAGAAGGAGCCACTGGTGCAGTCCTGGCTCCAGCAGGAGCAGCATAACCTCACTCCCAGGTGCAAGTCTGGAGAGCCTGAGTTTAAGCTCCATATGTGGCATTTGGGAGATGGTTACTGGAATATGATGTTCCTCCCTGTTGGCAGGTTTTTTTAATTAAAAAGGGTACATCACACTGTGTTCTTGAGAAAATGCTGTATAGCAGAACACTATGTAACACTTAGGGTGATTCAGTATGGCAGGAAAATAGCAATTATAACTTCTGTGAGTAGTTCTGACTTCAATGGGGGGAAAAAGTCCTTAAAGAGGAACCAAAAGCTGGAGCCACAGAGGGTCATTGTTCCTGTTTTACAGCTCCCTTGTTCTGTCACTGGCGAGTGGCACCTGTACCTCAGCATCTCCAGGACAGGACTGTGACTTTGTGGGTGAAGTGCTGAAGGTGGTGGATTTAATTTACACAGCCGGGAAGTTCAGGGACCTGTGGTGGGCACAGAACTGACCTAGCTGGGGTTATGTTCTTTCTGTTCTGGGCTGGTTTTTTCAGGAAGAGGCCTGTCCCTGGCTGGGTTGTTGATGTGGCTGTGGTTGCTTGAGCTGTATCCATAGGCCAGTCTTCTGATGGAAAGGCTTTGGCTCGCCTGGAGCAGGAAAGTGGCTTCTTGGCTACCCCTGGGGCATCCTCAGGGGTTCTGGTCCCGCTCCTGAGGGAAGGAATCCCTCTGGAGAGCTTTGCTTTGCCCTTCCCAGTCCATCACTAGGCAGTGATGTGGGTTGGAGAGCAGTGCCTGCTGTGGAACAGCTGCCAGGACTCCAGGGGCTTGCATGGAAATCTCTTTGCTCAAACTGGAAGCTAAAAAAGCAAAACTCATTCCAGTCTCCTTGTTGTCTTTGGGGCTGACTGACCTTTCCTCTCTCTTCCAGTGTGTAAAGGTTGCCATAAAGGACAAGCAAGTGAAATACTTTATCCATTACAGTGGTTGGAATAAAAAGTAAGTATTGCACAAAACGAAAGCAGAATTTCTTTTCCCTTCAGAGGAGACAGCTGGGTGGACCAACTGCCAATGTCCCTGGTGTGGGGAGGTTCTCTGAGGCCAACCTAATGGTTTTATACCTGAGCTGATGATTTATAGTAACACAAAGAAAACATTGCCAAACTAACCATCTCCTGCAGAGCCTGGGGTGTAAGGGAAGTGATGGGAATAACACTCACTGTAATTCCTCACTGGCAGAAGTGTCTGTTGTGAAAACGTCCTTGTTATGTGCTGGTAGAAGAGGCAACTCCTGCCGAGGTGGAGCAAAACTGCACTCAAATACCCTGCACTTGACTTTTATCCCACGTTTGGCAGCAGATTTTGGGGAAGCACAGCCTGCTGAGGGCTGTGTTCAGCAGGGGAGGGCTGGCTGAGCCCTTCACAGGGGCAGGTGTAGCCTGTGCTTCAGTTCCAGCCTCCCTTCACAAAGCAAACTTCCTCTTCCCTCCTGCAGAAGCAGCAGGATTTTGGGTAGAGGTTGCTGAAAATGAAAGGTGACTCTGAAATCAATGATGAGGCCATTAAGGGTGAAAACTTCCAGGAGACTGCTGTATTGATACACTTTTTTTGGTTTTATGTTCTGCCACTCAGTTGGAACTTAGGAAAAGTGGAGTTTTGCCTTAGTGATGAAAAGCTTCAGCTCCTCAGCCTCAGGAGGCTCAGAGAGCAGCTTCCTGTTGGCTTTGGTTTTGTTTCAGTGCTGAAGACTCTCGGTCACAACTCTCCTGGTCTCACTGATGTGACTCAAAGCTGAACGTGGTGTTTTCTGTGTGACTTTAATTGCAGCTGCTCACCCTCCAGCCAGAGGGCAGGGACCAGCCCCAGGAGCACAACCAGCCCGTGTGGCTGCTGTCTGTTGATGAGGCAGCAAACATCTGGTCCTTCCTCCCCTGGTTCATCCCGAGGGAGGCGCCGGAACTGCTGTCCCCATCCCGCTTTTCTTGCTTGTGCTGCCTTTCTTTGCCTTCAGGCTCCCCATTACCAACATTAAAAGTGGCAGTGCTGCGAGAGCCAGGCAGCTGGGGCTCTGTGACCCCCTCATTTGGGGTTCTCTGACTATGGGCCTTTGCTAATTGCTTGACTTCCCACTCCTTTTTGCCAACATCAACAGTCAGGACACAGAAAGGTTTCCTCCCCATGCAGTGCCATGTGTCACCTGGTTACACAGCACTTCCTGAGGGTCTCTGCAGTCTACAGGCAGGAGGGAGGTAATTAAATGGCTGCCAAAGCACTACCCGAAAAGCAGCAGCTTTGGGTACAGCTGGAGTGGTTTCTCTGTAATTTCTGGATGCTGAGCTTGCCTTGCCTTTACATCTGAAGGCCTGTAGCAAGATTGGTTTGGCCACTCCAAAGCTGGCACCTGTTGGGAAATGACACAGAACTCCACAGAAAGAGCTTTAACTTCAGAATATCCTGGCCACTTTTAATGTGTTTTATTTGAAATAAACTGTCAGATTGCTCAGATGATCCACTCTTGGTCAGAGTGGAACTGCTGCTCGTAATGGCGATTTCCCCAACACCTCTTCTCTTAAATTGTTCAGATTCTTCAAATATTCATTCCATCTTGGTTTCCTTCACAGACAGAAATCAGAGCTCTTCTCCTTACAGTAAGATCTTATTGCTGAATTTGTTAACCTATAAAAATGTTGGAATAGATAAAGGAAACTTGCTTCTGAATATATTATGGCTGCAGGTGTCCCATAATTTAGCAAGCATGGATTTTTTTTTTTTTTTTCCTGTGATGCTTCTTTTGAGTTAAAGTCAGTCCTCTCCCTCCTGAATTGCCCATCTTCAAGTTTGGGAAATTCTTTGGAAATGCCTGAGGGTTACACTTCCCTAGAAAAACCATTCCAGCTTCAGTCAGTGGGGAATGTGTTTGGTGACTTCCACCTTGAGCTGTGCCAGTCCATGACTTGACACAAAAGCAGTTTAGTCCCAAATTCTGTGAAGCTTTGAATTGACTGTTGTGTGTAGAGTGCAATTGTTCTTGAAGTTTTTGAGTGATCATCCTGTATTTTGACTTTCTTGCAGCTGGGATGAATGGGTTCCAGAAAGCAGAGTGCTCAAATACGTGGATACCAACCTGCAGAAACAAAAAGAACTTCAAAAGGCCAACCAGTGAGTAATTTTGGTAGAAAATCCTTCTCAGAAAATATATTTAAGAGCTTCCATCCAACAACTACATATCAAGGGAAGTTAGTGAGTTTAAAAAAACAAAACAAAACAAAACCAAGCTTGTTTTCCATTAAAGTCTCATTTATGAATTTCCTCTTTTTAAAGGGAACAATATGCAGAGGGGAAGATGAGAGGAGCTGCTCCAGGCAAGAAAACTTCTGGTCTGCAGCAGAAGAATGTTGAAGTGTAAGAAGGTTTTTATTTTAAAAAGAACACACAAAACAACCCCCAAGCCCCCACCCCAAACAGCTCTTAAACCTTTGCTTGCCTGTTTTACTCTTGATCTGCAGGATTTTTCTTAGAAGGGCTCTGCAGGTTAAATTCCATTTCTTGTGGCACAGCCCCTGCAAGAGCTGTGTTACATGATGTCAAAAAGGCCTTTGTTGAAGTATTTTATGAAACTGCCTTTGGATGGTGAAGAGTTCAGGACTGAATGAGGGCTCTGAGTAAACACATCCTACATTTTTTGCACTCTGTTCCTCCTGAGTTGGTGACCTGACACTCAAAAAGTGGTGGTTCCTCATAAGTCTTGTGTCTCTCAGTGAAATCAGTTTCCATATAGAACTTCCCACTTGTTCCAGGCTCTGCAGGCACTTGGGAATCAAATCCTTGCACTGCCTTCTCACTGCAGAATTACCAAAACTGCATTTAAAGAGTCTGTTTGGCTGGTTTGGACAAAACTAACCCCATACTCTATTAAAAATGGGTTTGCATCTTAACAGTCCAGAAGCAAGCTCAGACATTTATTGGAAAAATTAATTTGAGGGTGTAACTGCCAGATTTTTCACTGCATCCTTTTGGTTTCCAGAAGAGGTGTCGTGGTAGATTCTCACACAGTCAGTGCAGCTCTGCTGCTTTGCTCGTTTGTCACCAAACTCCTCTGTTTGGGGCAGTGCTTCACTTAATTATGGAGAGGGTCATTACTTATGGGATGTTTTGAATTCCTGACTCCATTTATGATTCTGGTGCTCATGGGGAAGCTGCTGAAATGGCATCAGTTCTTCAGAAGTGGATTTGGCAGCAGCCTGAGATTTCACGTGTCGTTTGTGGGCAGCTTTGTCCTGAACCATGACTCACTGCTTTGAGAAGGGCAGCAGCGGTGGGGTCAGCGAGCTGGTTTTTGCTCTGGCTGCTGAAGCAGTTTCACTTTGGGATTAGTCAAAGCCTAGCCCAGGCTGCTGGTGTCTGGAGTGGGGAGCCAGTGGATCTGGCTGATCCCCAGAGCTGGGGGTGCTCCCCTGTGCTCTGCTGGGGCTCCCAGGGCCTCCAGCACCACGTCAGGTTGTGCTCTGTCAGCTCAGCACCAACCTCTGACAGGGCCCAGGCACTGCCTGTCTCCTTCTGGAGGTGAAAAAACCCAACCCACCTCTCTGTGTAGACAGTTGATAATGATTGTCATTAAAATCTAATCAAACCAGGTCTAAATGATGACCATTACTAATTTGGGTGCTTAAGGGGCTGTCACACTGGAGTTGCCTCCCAGGTGAGTAATCCCAGGTGTAAGCCTGACAGGGGCAGGGGTGACTCAGTTGTCAGTGAGTCGTTTGTACTACAGGGAGCGTGGCAATGGTAACTGCAGAGCAGGGTCCAGCTTGAGACCCCAGGCAGCTCAGGCTGAGAGCAGGGGGAGTTGTTTCTGGCTGAGTAAACACCAAGTGTTAACCTGGGCCTAAAGTCAGAGCTGGCCTAATCCTCTCACCCACACCTGATGTTGTGTCCAAGGGAGACCCAGTGGCAAAAATGACTTTGTTTTAAGCCCCTGTGAAGCTTAAAGCACGTTACCAGGTCTGACTTCACTCCTGGTTGAAACAAGCTTTGGAAAGGGCCTGGCTTGGCTTTCTGCTGCCACCACTGTCCTCAGCTCTTGTGCTTGTCTCCAGCAGAGCAAGGCAGACATAAGGTAGTTCTCTGAAACTGGTATTTCACTGACTGTAAAAACTGATTCCTTGGTGATGGATTTTGAGCTGTGAGGGGGGGAGAGGGAAAGCTGTTGCTGGAGCAGCAGCCTGGCCTGGGGGAGGTGGGTTAGAACAGGTCCCGTGTTGTTGCCGTGGTCTTGCTGCTCATCTCTGGCCAACAGCACAAGCAGTGCTTACCAAAGGGGGAGGAAATGCCTGGAGCCACTGGAAGGCTGAACACCAGGCCTGACACTGCCTCTTACCCGCAGGTTTTTCCGCCGGGATGGAGCCCACACTGTTTGCTGTCTGGAGACCCCTGCCATCTCCACACGGTGAGTGAGGGGGGGCTGGCACACCGGGACTCGTGTCCTGCACTCCAAACCTCTTTGCCTCCCTGCACTTCCTGTAGGGACTCTCTGAGTCCTCAGCTGGGTAATGTAAGTTTGGCAGCAGTGGATTGGTTTGATGGTAGATTTATTTAAAACCAGCATCGGCTGTTTTTTCTGCTAATACAAGTCTTGTTGTTGACCTGAACGTGCCCAGGTGTGTTCTCTGCCTGGCTAGGGGCATCCCCTGCTCCCTTGGCACAGCTGGTGGCTCTCCCAGGCATTCCAGGCCCTCAAATGCCATCCACCATCCAAACCCTGCCGGTTGTGCAGGGCTGGGGCAGCTCTGGGACCGGCTCAGGCTGGAGGTTCCTTCCCCTCCTCCTCTCTGGCCACCAGGAACGTGTGCTCAGAGGGAACCAGTGAGTCAGGCCAGAGATGCTCTCCCCAGACACTTCTGTGCTTCCAGCACTCTGTGACTGAGGGACCTCAGAGCTGGAGGCTGTGTCCATGTGGTGGTTTAATGTCCCTGCATGGGACTGTCTTATATTTATCTAGTAACTTCTGAACCCTTTGGACTTCTGGCCTCCCCATCACCTTCTGGCAGCCTGTTCTCTTTTTGAAGAGGTGAGGAAGGAGGAGGATGACTCCTGTCATTTTAATGTCTGCTGCTCTGGGGCTTTTTGGTGTTTTTCATCTGTCTTGGGGAAAAGACTGCTCAGTTCTTCAGGCTTCACCTTTTATTGTTGTGATCCCCCCACCACATTCCCCCTCTTAGTTTGATCTGTGAGACCTTCAGCACCTCCCACCTCTGTTCAAGCTTTTAATTAAAATTCTTTCCACAGAAGCTTCTTTGAGGCTTCCATGGTACTTTTCAGATTTGTTGTCCAGTTCAGTGACAAATGGCAGTGAAGGGAGAAGAAACAGGGGAGTGCACAGCTGGGCTGTGGAAAGAGGAGGCAGTGCAAGCTTGGGGCTTCTGTTCCCACGTGGTTGTGAAGTGCCACTAAAGGGTGTGTTTAACCCATCCTAGGTGGGTTCAATCTCTTGTGCCCCTTCAGGACCTGCATTCCACTTGTCCTTGCAGGAAAGGGTTACCTGCAGCATGAGGCACCTGCATGGTCCTGTTCAGCTTTATACTTGAGAAGGACTTTGTGTTATTTATTTTATATTGCCCCTCTGTTCCAGTGGTTAAAACTCTGCTTCTGTTCTAATGCTTAACATAATTTTTGTCTTGTGACTTTAATTCTGGGAAGAACTCCCTGTTCCTCCCTGTTTACTTTAGGTTTGGAAGAAAAGCCTTTCAATACACCAGTCCACTGTCAGTGACTTCACTTGGCCACTGCTCCTTCTTCCTGGACAGATGAGCTTTATTCTGCCCCCAGTTTCAGCCTAATGCTCATTTGACATGAAGTTTAGAAAACAAAACCAAACAGCCCTTACTCTTTGTATCTTCAGCCCTTCCTGGGGACTCTGCCTGGTTCCTGGCCCAGATAAACCCAGCTCAGAGCCTGGAAACGAGTCACTTGAGGTAGTGGTGAATTTGCAAGGAAATAATCTTGTACTGGGTAATGAGTTTTGTCCACACAAACTGTTTTTTGAGCAGCTGAACTGGCCTGCCGTTAGCAGGGAGAAAATTGAGACATGACTAGTTTCTTTGTCCCATATTCTGTTTGAAATACAGAAATAAAAGATCTACAAATCTAGTGTAGCTCTCCAGGAGCACTTGGGAAGGACAAAACATCCAAAGAAAAGGTGACTTGTAACCTGTTACATGAAAAATCTTGTAGTATTATAACTGTGAAGGGAAGTCTTAGCTGATATTTCTTTCCTGTGTTTTTATCTAAACATTCCCCAGGCCCCTGAGTATCTGCTCCTTGTGCTGAACTCGGTGGACAATTGTTCTGGCTTTCTGCTTTGGCTTCCTTAAGTACCACTCTCTTGATATTTGCAATACTTTGTGTTCTTTTTGCAGGAAAACAAAAAAGAACAAGCAGAAAAGTAAGTATGTACTTTGTATGTAAGTGGATCCCCTCAGTGAAGGATTCTTAGCTGGAAAGACCTTCAATCTGTCGCTTGCTGTTGCCTTGTGCTGCCCCTCCCGCGCTCCTGGGTCCCTCCCTGCCCAGGAGGGGTGCACAGCCTTCTGCTCTGCACAAAATCTGCTTTGGTCTGTCAGGATCTTGACCTCCTGCAGATTAAAAGCAAAGTGGGATCTCCATGGATCTGAGGAAATAACTTCATAAGTCAGACTTCTGTTTTCTTGCTGAGCTGGAGGTGGGACACAGCTGCAGAGCTGAGCTGCTGGGCCCAGACACTGTGCTAGAGAATATTACACACAGTGACACCTTGCTTTGGCTTCAGTGCAGAAACCTCCACCTGCAGTTTAAACTGTCCCAAACCTGGGACTTGCAGAGCACAAAACCCAGCCAAAGCAAGAGGTGATCTGAGGGAGATCTGAGTCTGAGATCCTTGCTGTAAATCTCTCCCGGTGTTTGTCAGTGATGAGGTCTGTGTTCTGCACAGCTCCAGGCATTGGAGAGGGGAGCAGCACCAGCGAGACTCCCCAGCCCCCGAGGAAGAAAAGGGCTCGAGTAGATCCCACGGTGGAAAGCGTGAGTGTCTTCCATTCCCCCCCAGGGCTTGGGGCAGGAAACAGGAAGGGGGCTGTGCCCACCATTGTTGCCTGGGAGTAAGGAGTGTGGCTTTGCCTTTCTCAGGAAGAAACATTTATGAACAGAGTTGAAGTAAAGGTGAAGATCCCAGAAGAGCTGAAGCCATGGCTGGTAGATGACTGGGACCTGATCACCAGGCAGAAGCAGGTGACTTGGCAAGAGAACAGTTTGGGCCATCCCACACGTGTAAAAATCATGGTCCAGTCTGGGGGAGCATGTGTACGCCTGTGACTCTTGGCATGACTTTATTTAACTCTAATTCAGTAGTTCATCATCAGGTTGCTGTTGAGCAGCACGAGAGTTAAATGGAAACATGGATATAGTTGTAGAATCCTGGATGGCTTGGGTGGGAAGGGACCTTAAAGCCAATCTCATTCTACTCCCTGCCATGGGCAGGGACACCTTCCATAGCCCAGGGTGCTCAGGTTGGTTGGGGTTCTGTTTGTCCATTAAAACAGTTGGGGGTGTTCCTTTAATAACACTGCTGTTTTCAGTTTAGAAATGCCCTTGTGTGCATTGGTTTCAATTCAGCTTCCAGGTATAAATGTCTGCAAAAATGAGGCAACTTGTATTTGTTCTGTTTTCCTTCTTTGCAGCTCTTCTACCTTCCTGCCAAGAAGAATGTTGACTCCATTTTAGAGGATTATGCAAACTACAAAAAATCCCGAGGAAATACTGATAACAAGTGAGTTGTGGCCATTCCCAGCCCTAAACACTTCTTTTGCTGTTGTTGTTGGACTTGGAAAATTGAGAAAACTTGTGAAATGTGGCCCAGCCCAATGTTCAGCATCCTGTTCCAAGACCAAGGTGATAGAGGAGTTTAGAAATCTTGAGGGGGTAATTCCAGACTGCATTTCTGCTTTCTGGGTATTATATATCTGCTTCTCTCCCTTTTCCCAAGCCCTTTCCTGAGGGAAGATGATACAAACAGCCCAGAAAAGCTGCCTGGTAGGTGAGCTCAGAGCTCCTGGGCTCCCTCCCAGGCACAGGGGCAGGGAGGTGCATGAGGACTTGTAAAACATTCAGATGAGCAGAGCTAATTACTCCTTTGTAATTACCCCAGCAGTCAGCCCTGACCAAAAACAAGGTGTGTTTATTCTGAGGGAAGCTTTCCTGTTTGAAAGGGAGAGAGAACAGAGAGGGGAAGTCATTTTCTGCCATTCAGGAGGAGGTAGATTGTTGACTTGTCAGGGTGTTTTAACCCCCTTTGATGTGATTGTTGTGAATGCGCTGGCAGGGTGGAGTGAGGGCTGGGCTTCTCAGTGTCACTAATTCCTGTGCAGGCAGGGTGAACTGCAGGAATATGGCAGGAGAGGCCTGGGAAGCAGGGATCAGGTGCCTGACATATTGAGGGCTGTCCCTCTCTGTTAGCAGGAGTTCAGTCCAACTTTCAAAGTGTTGTGAGTTGGGATGAACTTGGGTGAAAAGAGAAGAGCTGGTGAGTGTCCCTAAAATCCTGCCTGTTCCTTTGGAAGGGCTGCTCCAAGAGTTCATCTCTCTGAGTGGGTGACTAAAAACAAGGCTGCTCTTGGTTTGCCTAAATCCTGAGTTCAGAACAGCCCATTTTTAAGGGAGGTCTGGAAATGCACCACTCCCCGTGGCTGTACACTGTGAGGTCTCCAGACTAATTTCCTTGGAAGATCTGAAGGCCTGTACAAGATCCTCATCCTTGGAGCAAGGCTGGCAGTGTTCTGTGCCCCCAGGGAATACGCTGTCAACGAGGTGGTGGCTGGAATTAAGGAGTATTTCAACGTCATGCTGGGAACTCAGCTGCTCTACAAGTTTGAGAGGCCCCAGTACGCCGAAATCCTGGCGGATCACCCCGATGCTCCCATGTCTCAGGTCTACGGTGCCCCACACCTCCTGAGGCTGTTTGGTGAGTACCACCCCGGGAGGGTGAGGAACAGCAGTTGGAAGGATTCAGACAAGTCTGCTGCCCTCCTGAGTCTGTGACAGGCAGCTCTGGATCCTGGGTTCACTCTTTACTCCAGTATCCGGAATGCTCAGAGCCATCGGGGGCTTTGGAGTGGAAATGGGCTTTTAGCACTCTAGTTGAGCTTGTACATATCGGAGTAGGTTTGCTGGGCTGCTTTTCTGTGCTGCTGTGAAGGTCTGGGCTGTTCTTCAGTCCCTGCTGAAGCTGTTGCTGTGAGTAACCAGTGCTCCTTCCTTTGGAGCAGTGCGGATCGGGGCCATGCTCGCCTACACGCCTCTGGACGAGAAGAGCCTGGCTTTGCTGCTGAACTACCTGCATGACTTCCTAAAGTAAGTACTGGGAAGGTCTTGCAGCAAGAAAGGCAAAGTTCAGGAAGCACAGGCTGTTACTGCTGCCTGTTTTCAGTGAATTGGGTGATTTGGGGCCTGTGTGGGGGATCTTCCCAGTGAAGTTTTGACTGCCGTACAGGAGCACAGTAAGACTGGGTTTAATTCCCTCCTGTTACACCAAGATGATTCCTAGTGCCAGGAAAAGGGGGAGTGGCTTCCCACTGCCAGAGGGCAGAGTTAGATGGGACACTGGGAAGGAATTCTTTCCTGGGAGAGTAGGCAGGCCCTGGCACAGGCTGCCCAGAGAAGCTGTGGCTGCCCCTGGATCCCTGGAAGTGTCCAAGGCCTGGTTGGACGGGGCTTGGAGCACCCTGGGATAGCAGAAGGTGTCCCTGCCCATGGCAGGGAGTGGAACAGGATGAGCTTTAAGGTCCCTTCCAACACAAACCATTCGTGGATTCTGTTAGTCTGCCCTTCTAAACAGCCCAAATCTGCTACTTTTTTCAAAATAAATGCTTCAACTTTTATTTCTAGTTGCTATAAAAAGCAGATGATAATTCCAGCAAGCTGTTCAATTACACAATAGTTGCTCAACAGCAATTGAGCAAATATTTAAAAACTGATGAACTTTACGGATGTTTTTTCTGGGACAGACAGTCACTGGAGCTTTAGTGTGCTTGTGCTGCAACCCTGTGGCTGTGGGATATCTTGGAGGAAAACTCCATCCTGAATGATAATAAAAGGCTTTAATGTGAAATAGGATGAGCTTTAAGGTCCCTTCCAACCCAGACCATTCCAGGATTCTGTGATTGGATAAACAACTGGAAGTTGAAAGAAAACCCTCAGTAAATCCAGGATGAGCCTTGAGTAGATCCTGGTCTTTTGGGCCAGTCTGAGGTAAATGCAGGTGCTGAACAGCTTTGGCTGTAAAGGCAGGAATGTGAAGCCAGTGCCCAGAAATCCCTGAATCCGTTTGATGAGAGTTAAGGGCACATAACGTTTATCTTTGGCCATTCCTTGTTCTGCCATCATTCACTCAGCCCCTGAGGTTCCCTATTTGTGCAGGCAGAACTCCCTGGAGTCCTGTTCCCTGACCCTGCTCCTTTCAGTAGATCAGTACTAGATGTACTGCAGCTGCCTGAACCTCAAATGTCAGCTGTTTCATCTTATTAATCCTGACTTCACCTGGAGCCAGAGCAGTTTGACAGCTTGTTTGGAATTGATTTTGGTTTTTAATTGATTTTTTGGCCTGAGCTGTCAAATGTGGAGTTAACCTGACACAGCTGGTGTGAGTGGCTACACGAGAGATTTGTGCTGCTCAAATCCCATCCTGTGGTCTGGAGTGACACTGGAGGACTCACGTGGTTCTGAACAGTGGAGAATTTGGGCAGGAAGGTGATGTGATGTATTTGTTATTTCTGTAGGTATTTAGCAAAGAACTCCTCTGCGTTGTTCAGTGCCAGTGACTATGAAGTGGCCCCTCCGGAGTACCACCGGAAAGCCGTGTAATCCCAGTCTGGATCCCTGTAACTGTCCACTTCTGCATCCTGTCCTTCACCTCCCCACTGCACAGCTCCTGCACAGCCCTGGCAACATGAGGTGAACAAAGTTGTGTGAGGTGGAGCTGGCGTGTAAAGTTGTGAGGATTTCTCGTCCCCGCTGGGCGCTCTGGGCTGTTCCTGGCTCGCTGTGTGCGGTGGGGGGATGGAAGGGAATGTGTTTGGTGTGTCTGTGTATGAACTCCCTGCTCGTAGGGCTGCTCTGAACGAGGCCTGGCCTCACTAACCCGCTTTATTCCATAGTCCAGCAGACCCCTGGGGCTGTGTCACCTGTGTTGGTGCTATTGACTGTCTGACCCAACCCATTGACGTGCTGGTGCTAAAAGTTCCATGTTCGGTCCATAAATGTTCGCTTCTCTTGGGGTAGTTGAAGGACTGTGATTTTTTTTTTTTTTTTAATATATTCTAACGGTAGGAAAACGTGTTCTCATCTCGTAGTGTTTGGAAATGCTGGTCTTTCATGGAGCTGTTTTACAGAGCTGCAAATAAACTTTTTTAATCTCAAAGCTTGTTTCTGATGTCTGTGTTTGTATCAAGTCCCTGCCCTGCGAGTGTCCTGGCCAGGATGAGCCGAGGGAATGAGGGGTTTGGGGACACGTGTTAAGGGTGTTGCAGGACTTGGCTCTGGCCCGAGTAGCTACTCTTTCCAGGCAAAACACCAGGTTTTAGTCACAGATGTTACTGCAGGAAATCACAGTATCTGGGGATCCAAGGGCTGGTCTGGTGTGGGTGGGGTGGGATTGTGCCCTTCCTGTGGGGACTGCGAGACAGGAGGGTCCTGCACCCCCATGTCCCCAGACAGGGGCTGCCCCTTCCCAGGAGCTGCCTGTGTGTGAAGATGGGGCTGAGGGGAGGTGTGAGCAGATTCCCTGGACAGGAATCCAGGGGGGTCGTGTCCCCCCCTGCCCCTGTGCCCTCCTGTCCCGCAGCACAAAGACCCACCCAGCGGGTCCTGAGCCGTGCAGGGCGGGGCTGGCCTGGTCCGGCAGGATAACGAGCTGTTGGAAAGAGCAGCGGGATCTGTTGTGGAATGGAAAAAGAACAATATGGAGCGCTGATGGGAGGGGAAGTTGCCATGGGAACTGAGGCAGGGCTGGGAGCTGCCGCAGCGCTTCCGAGGTGAGTTCCTGCCAGGAATCCTGCCCAGGGCAGGCAGAGGAGGGAAGGGGGCTGTGGCTTCCCTGCCCAGCTCCAGGCTGGGAGGGAGCAGGCCTGGGCAGGTGGGTGCTCCTCTGGCTCCTGGGGGTGTTCCAGTCACTGCTCTTTCACAGATTCAGTAGGTTAATCAGCTACTGCTCACCGTGAGCCGTGTTCTGGGCTGAGCAATGGATTTATCCTTTGCCAGCTGCCCCAGGGCTGGATCGTGGTGGGACTCATCCCTTCCTCAGCCAAGGCTCTTGAGCTGGGCATGGGATGGAGTGCCTGGAGCTGTGCCAGCGTCTCTGTGTTTGGTTCGTGTATCCCTGGAGAGGTGGATGGAGAACTTGGAGCCTTTTGGTGCCCTGGGCTGGCCGAGCTCCTCCTGCAGAAGGTGTATTTATTTATAGGTGGGAAATGGTTTTGTGTGGAGGTGGTGGCTGGGCAGGGGTGATGGGCTGTCCCCCCGGGGTGGTCCTGGCTGGAAGGGGATGCTGTGCAGTGTCAGCATCCCAGCTGTGCCCCCCTGCCCCCCGAGCTGGGTCGCCTTTTTCCTTCCTCTGTTCCCATCTGAGGGTGATTTCCTGTGCCGGGGGGTGCGGAGGGCTGGGTCCATCCTCGCCCTGTTTTCCTGCTGCCATTTAGAGCCTGCCTGGCTGAGCAGTGTTTGTGCCAGGGGAGATCCCAACGCTCCTCCATCCCCGGGGCCGGAGCTCGGCTGGCTCGGCCCTGCTCCCCAGCCCGGGATGGACGGGGAGAAGCAGAGTGATCCCTGCCCCGGCCGGGCCATGGCATCTGTGCAGGTGAGTGTTCCCCCAGAAACCCTCTGGCTGTGTCCTGCATGTGGCCGTGGGGCTCTGGGCTGTGTGGGGAGCAGCCCGTGCCCTCCCGGGGTCTGTGCCGGGGTGGGAGCACACACATCACACGCTGGCACCGCACGTGGTCCTGGGGCTGTGCCAGGGCGGGGGGCTCGGCCCTGCCGAGGGCTGGGGCAGGAGCTGGGGCTGTCTGAGCTGCCAGGGGTTGGTGTCTGAGCTGCCAGGGCTCCCGGAGCTCCCTGCAGGGATAAGGAGCTTACACCAGGGAATGAGGAGCTAACGGGTCCCCCCCACGGGGCTGGAGCCAAAGCCCATTAGGTCTCCATGTGACTCCCTGTTACCTGCAATAGGCTTTTCAGTGCAGGTGCTCTGGGCTTTCCACGCTCTAATGCCACGCCGGGATTATGGCAAGGTCTTGCCTACTCGCTGCTGTTAATTAGTGCCTGGAGTGAGCGAGATGACTGGGGCACAGATGCAGGAGCAGCACAGATGCTCCCCCAGCCCATGACGTGAAGGACCCCCCAGTGTCCCCAGAGTGAACGCAGCTCTGACACCTCCAGCCCTGCTGTGGCTCTGCTGCCAGTGTGGCCTTCCTGGTGTTGGGGAGCTTTAATCGGCTTCTCTCGGGGTCAGTCAGCTTCCTGCAGCTGCTCTGGGCCGGGAGGGGCTGCCAGGAGCTGTGTCTCCTCAAGGACCCAGCGGCTGCTGCTGGGTGGCACCGGTAGGTTTTGATTTCCATGATATTCCCATGGCCTCACATCAGCCCTGAGTCCCATCAGCTGCTCAGTGGGCCCGGGAGCCCTTGGCCAGGCAGCCCCCACTGGCAACATGAGTGAGTGGAGGGTGGGAGTCCCACGGGAGCTTGAGGAGCAGCCAGGGCGGCGAGGCTGGAGAGCAGCTCAGGCTCAGACACTGCTGTCACCTTTAATTTGCATGGAGGGGTTGCCAACTGCAGCACTGAAGGCTGCTGGCTGATTAGTTTATTCCTTAGCAGAGCCTTTCGGGAGCGACTCAGTCATCTGGGAAAGGTTTCCCTCTGCCAGGGCTGGCCAGGGGTGTCATTACTGCATCAGGTCAGGCAGTGGAGCTGGAAACACAATCCTGTGCTGGCTCCCTCCTCCCACAAGGGATGAGGCTCCAGGAGCACCGGCAGGCACTTGGCTCCTGGGACCTTCCCGAGTGGGAATCCCGGCAGAGCTGGACCAGCAGACGAGCCGGGATGTTTTCCCTCTGTGCAGCCTTGGGGAGGTGAAAGCTCGTCCTTGTTTCACTCCAGCTCCCAGGAGCTCTGGGCTGCACCTGGAGCTGGGCAGCAGCTCCCGAGGGCGTTGAGCTGCCCAGGGCTTGCGAAAGCTCTGAGTGCCTGGACCTGCCCACATTCCTCTCCTTCCTCTGCTTGCCTTGTGACTCTGCCTCAAACCTTTCCGTGGGCAGGAGATGCCTTGCCAGGCACGTGGCTGTCTGGGCCTCTCCTGGCAGCTGCTCTTGGTGCTCTGACAGGGTCCGTTTTCCACCTGGATTTTGGGTGCTGGGTTCAGCTGCCGTTCCCAGGAAGGAGGGAGCTGATGTGGTGGCCAAGTTGAGAGAGCCAAGCTCCTTCCTGGGGTGGTGGAACTGGGGAGCAGGGCAGAGTCCACCCAGACCCCCGGGGGTTTGGGGGTGCTTCTCTTTTGGAAGGCAGAGTGTGGGGAAGGGGCTGCCCTGGAGGTTTTAGAGCATAGTTGGTGATCCAGCTGAGGAAGTCCTGGCTCCCTCAGTAGCCAAATGAGATTTAAAAGACAGGAAAGCCCCCAAGCTGCTGCTGTGCCCTCAAAAACAGCCTTGGTTTCTTGTTGGGCCATTTCAGTGTGGACCTGGTTCACCCCCTCACCCCGGTGGACTCAGCCAGGGATGATGGCACAGTGTGCCCACCCTGCCCTCTCCCAGCCCTCTGTGGTGCCCCCAGCCAGGAGAGGGGCAGGGCTGGCTCAGGTGTGTCCCCGTGGGGCTGTGTCCATGCCCAAGGAGGGCTGGGAAAGGTTGCTGGCCAGGGGATTCCATAGCCATGCAGTGTCCCTGCCCAGGCTCTGTGCAGGCCAGTCCTCCTCCCAGCCAGGGCAGGGTTGGCTGGGAGCGATGCCCTGGGCAACCGCAGCTTCGGGTCCCTGCTCTCTCCACCTTGTTCTGCTCCTGCCTGGAAACACGTCTGGCAGGACTGGGGGCAGCAGACAGGGAAGAGGCAGGTGCCTTCTGGGCCACCCTGGGGCTGGCAGAGACACTGCCATAAAGCCATGGGTTGGTGTCACCCTGAGACTGGAGCTGCCTGTCCCCCACGTCGGACCCTCAGCGCACCAGGGACGTTGAGGTGAGGCTGGGAAGCTCAGTGGGGAGGCTGCCTGTGGCTCAGTCTCTCCATGGTGTCCCAGGTGGCTTGTGCCAGCAGCTGAACAATGCCCAGATGGGCATCAGCTGGGGCTCCATGGGATGGGGCAGAGGCTGGTGGTGGCCCAGGAGGGGCAGCTGGTGGCCAGGGCACCCTGGCAGAGGGGCACAGGGGGAGGGATGTGCTGGCAGTGTGTGCTCTGGGAGCAAGTACACCGGCTGCTCCCTGACTGGGGCTGGGTCCTGGCAAAGCTGCTGTTTCGAGGATATTTCTCCCGTTGTTGCGTTTGTTGCTGCTGGATGTTGTTACCGTTGCTGTCGAGCCTGAGGCCTCTCAGGCTGCGGCACAATCAGACTGCTGCTCATCAGGAGCACTGAGCTGGGGTCTGGGATGGAACACAGCCCCTTTCCTGCCTGCCTTCCTCTTGCTGAGGTTTCCCTGTACTCTGGCTCCACTGTGGCTTTCCCAGCTCCCCGGCACAGCTGAGCTAGGTCTGTGGCACAGGCACACCTGAACCCTGGAAACCCTTCCTGGGAGATGGTGCAGTGCCTTGGCTCCTGCCTTGGCTCCTGGCCCTGCGACAGCCCTCAAGAGCACCCCAGGTAAGAGGGAAGTGCCTGTGTCCCAGAGATGCCGGTGTGTGCTGCTGCAGGGCTGGGACAGCCTCCCCGTGGAGCTGCACTGCGTTATCACCCAGTGCTGCCACCGTCACTGCCTTTGCTTCTGAACTGGGTGGGGAATGGAAACCCGGCGTCCCCTTTCCATACAAACAAGAGGGATTGCTG